CTCGGGACGTGCGAGCACTCAGCACAGCAGGCTCCCAGGTAGTTCTAACGATTATGCAGCGCTTCAAGAGGCACGCTCTTTCGCTTGCAGCTGCCACGTGAGCGACGCAGAGAAACGGGGTCGACTGCGCCGACATTCGCGCATAAGGTGCTTGCGTTAGGCCACGCGTCATCGCCGTCTTTTTAACGCGGCGTGCCACGTTGGCGGCCCGCGCGAGAAGTCGCCATGCCATCTCGCGCAAGGCCCGCTTCTTTTCAGCGTTAACGTGATTCCTACATGCCAAGCAGCGCAAGCGCAGGTGATGTGAACAGAGGTGACAGCACAGAGGCAAAAGGTTTGCAGAGGAGACCTCGGACGCAACGGCTTGTGGCAGAACAGGGGTGGACCTACACGGTGTTTTGGCGATTTCGTGGGCCGATTTCGTTTCGATTTTGTTTTGCGGTAAAGGCGGCTTTAAGACAAAACGAGGGAAAACGAACACAAAACGAAAACGAAAAACACCGTTTGGGTTCAGCCCTGTGGCAGAACATGTCAGCACTGGGCGCGCAAGGCGCTGTACGGGCAGTTCTTCTTGTCCAACTACCAGCACGACCTGCACCTGCGGGCGCCGCCGCCGCGCGCGTGCCTGCTCTTGGCATCGCTCGGACGTGTGCATTTTTCCTTCGGCGAGGACAATCGTGGAGCATTTTTGACCATTTGGCGAGCAAACCACGCACGAAACCGAGCAAAACACAGGGAGTGGACGCCCGAACGATGGCCAGTGCTCCGGCAACGGGCTGCAAGATGTCCCCCCGCTGTCACTGAATTGCGGGACGCCAGCAAGTGTTGTGACGCCCAGCATCCTGAGGACGTGCCTGAGATTTTTCGGAATATAAGATACGTAGCCCGAGCCCAGGGCGGTCTGATGCGCACGCGTGAAGTTCTTCTTTCATCCTCAGATGGGGAATTCTTTGCGCTTCGCAAGTGCCCAGAAAGCCATCCAGAAACGATCGCAGGAAGGAAGGAAGGAAGGAGCGGACGAGGACAAGGAGGATGAAGAGGCGGCTTTTACAGGTCTGTTGTTGTGCGGCCTGTTGGCGTCCCCCAGGGGCCTCTGGGGTTCCTCTGGGGTCCACTGGGGACTCCTTTGGAGTCACTTGAGGCTTTCTGGGGAGGTCTGGGAGGCTCCTTAGGGCCGTCTTGGGAGCCACGTCTCAAGTGGGCAGACAGTTGCGCGTCTCGAGGCCATCTTAGGGCTTTTCTTGGGCGCTCTTGGGACTGCCTTGGTGCCCTCTTGGTCCCCTCTTGCAGCTCTGTTGGGACATCTTGGGGCCAAATTGAGGTCTCAGATGCCCATCGGAGGCCCTAAGGCCAGAAGGCAGAATACACTGATTTGCTGATGTGTTTGAAAGAATTCGGCCTCCTGGGGTGTACCTTGGGAAGCTCGAAGGGCACTGGGAACCGTTTGGAGGTACGTCGGAGGCCATCTTAAGCAATCTTGAAGTAGCTCGGGCCATCCTGGGAACCATCTTGCAGCTTCTGGGGTCCTCTTGGAGCCATCTTCGGCCATCTTGGACGCTCTAGCGCCTGGGTCCCGCCCCCCCCCCCGACCCGGCCCAGGGGAGGGGGTAGTGGGAGGGGTCAAGATAGTTCTCCCAGACGCAAGCTGTTTGGCTCACTCGCACCCGCCCTTCCCAACACATGAATAGTACCCGAGTCTCAGCATACTCAGCGGTCGTCTTTGGATGGACAGCTAGTTGGTACCAATACAGACCCCAGGTGCGCGACGAGGTACACCACACGTGCCAGGCGCGCCACGCGAACCAGGCGCGCCAGTCGCCCCGAGGGCCCAAGCGTGCCAGGCACGCCTGCTGCGCTGGATGCGCCACGTGCTCCATGTTCGCCAAGTGTGCCGCATCCTCCAGCCGCGCCAGGTGGGTCACGTTCGCGGCACGCGCAGAGTGTGCCAGGTGCGCCCGCGCACATCGGGAAACACGTCGGCTCCAAGCATCCTTGCCAAAAACCAGTGCACAATCGCAGCGGAGTGGTCATCATGATATTTGGTGGGCCTGCACGCAGCAGGCAACATGCCAGCACCCCCGCCGTTCCTGTCAAAACCAATGTAAAGTGATCGCGGCGTTCACGCGCATGATCCAGATTTAGCCGCGACGTGTAGTTGTTACTCGGCAGGGATGGGGGCTCTGCGCACAGCAGGCCGTATGCGTGCAACCCTAACATCCGTGTCAGAAACAATACAAAGTACTCGCGGGACCCCCGACCATGACCCAATATTTCGAAGGCCTTCTGGCCGGTGCCGCCGACCCTGAAGGCGGGACCTCCCCCCAGGACCCTCGCTGGCGACTTCCCTCCGGGACCCGCCTGGTCGAGGAGTTGGAGGAGTTGGAGGAGGAGAAGGAGGAGGAGGAGGAGGAGGAGGAGGAAGAGGAGGAGGAGAAGGAGAAGGAGGAGGAGGAGGAGGAGGAGGAGGAGGAGGAGGAGGAAGAGGAGGGCGAGGAGGAAGAAGAGGAGGAGTAGAAGGGAGGAGGAGGTGGAGGAGGAGGAGGAGAAGGAGGAGGAGGAGGAGGAGGAGGAGGAGGAGGAGGAATAGGGCTGCGTCACCAGACCTGGGTGCCCTCATCCTTGAGGTCGTGAGGCTGCAGCAGGAGGGGGAGCAGGAGGAGGAGGAGGAGGATGAGGAGGAGGACGACGAGGAGGAGCCGGAGGAGGAACAGCAGCCGGAGTTCTCTCGCCGCCGCCCGCCCGGCAGCCAAGCTGGCCTCGGGGGCTCCGCCCTTGCCCCGGCCGCGGGGGCGATGGCGGCCGAGGCCGACGAGGGGCTGTACCATGACGCCCGGCGTCCGCGCTCCCGCCCGTCAGATCCCAGCGTCGCAAGGCGAGTCGTGCCATCCGCTCTCTCTGCGTGTTCGGCCTCTGGAGGCCGTCTCTTGTCCCCGTGGCCGTCAGCGCAAGACTCGGAATGAAAATCGGGCCCCTGGTAAGGGGTCGAGACCCCTGGTTGCCCGCGTTGCAAAAAGAATGCGCGCCGGAGTAGAGGGCCCACCGTCGTCGCCGTCGGTCACGGTCGCCGTCGCCGTCACCGTCGACGCGGAGGACGAGCATCGAGGAAGTAGGGTTGGGGATAGAGATGATTTCGACGTTTTTGTCCCCTCTTGGACCTTGGAAGATTCTTCGTAAGCATCCAATGAGTTTCGGGCCCCTCCAGCGACTTCTGGATGCCTTTGGACGACATTGGTCGTCGTAGTAGTCATAGTAGTCGTTGTAGTCGTCGTCACCGTTGTCGCCGTCGTCGCTGTCTCCGTCACCGCAGTCGTTGCCGTCGGTGCTGTGGCCGTTATCGCTGTCGCCGTCGGGGGCACCATCGTCCTCGCCGTTGCCGTCCTGGTCGTCACCGCGGTAAGCAGGAGGCCTACGGTGTCTGCAGACCATCGCCCATGTCGGCATCGACGCTCTCAACTTCGTCATCAGAAGCAGGCATCTACATACCACCATGCCTGGCCAGGACCAACCTGAGCTCCAGGATGGTGTGCAGACCTCTCTGGTCTCGTCCAGGAGGACGTATACACCATGCGAGGGCACTTCTGCCAGGCACGGTGGTGGTGTACAGGTGCCTTCTGCGTATTATTTAATCGCTTCGCTCATTCCGCCGGCCCGTATTGTGCCATCGCAGGCGTTTGCTTGCGCGTGCGTTGCCTCTTGGAGCCTCGGTGGGGCCGTTTGGGGCCTCTTGGCGCCTCTTTTTAGGCCTCTTGGAGAACTCGGGAGGCCTCCAGGGGGCCTCCTGAGCTCTCGTGACGGTCTCTTGGGGGGCTTTCGGCGGGCTCTTGGCGGTATTTGTTGGTCCTCTTGGGGCCTGGGGCCTGACGTTGTTGGTCCTCTTGGGGCCTCACGGGAGCTTATTGGGGCGTCTTGGGGGTGTCTTGGAGAGTCTCTTGGGGCCTCTTTCGGGGTCCTGGGCGCGTTCTGGGGCGGAGCGCTCGATTTTTCAGTTCTCAGTTCCCTTCTTGAGCCCCTCTTGGGCCCGTCTTGGGGCCTCTTGGTCCGCCTTGGGCAGCACTTGGGCCGTCTGGGGGGCGCTCTTGGGCCAGGGCACTTCTGCCAGGCACGGTGGTGGTGTACAGGTGCCTTCTGCGTATTATTTACTGACCCGAGGGCCAGTACTCTCACAGGCGATGCCTCCGATTCAGACGCGCAGGCGGCGCAGAATCTCCTCCCACGCGCGCTACACCACCCCGCGGCGTCGTTGCCACGCCATGCAGCGCATGATATTGCGAACACGTTGCCGCATAGTTTGCCGCAGGCCTGCATGCATGCATGTATGTCTGTTGCGCCATCGGGAGCCGCCGAGGCTCGAATCTAGACGTCGCCCGACACGTTCTGGAGCCAGGCAGGGGAGCAAAGACTGCGCATCACCGCTCCATCGTGCCGATCTTGTCTCTTCGGCGCGGTGGAGCCCCGCCCCAATCTGAAGGCAAGCTTCGACGCGGCCAGCCGGCGACGTCCTCCCTGCCGCCAGCGCCCCCTCAGCCTCTCCTGTCCACTCGTGGCGCTCCTTGTCGCCGATCGCGCATGCCAGAGAAGCCTCGTCGCCCGAGCCCCGAGCCGCGGACTTCCGCGCGGACGCCGAGCGCATCCGCCGTCCCCCGCGCCCCTTCTCCCCCTCGGAGGTTGATCGACCTCCACCCTGACACGTCGATTAGCGAATTGGCCGTTCTCGGTTCGCGAGAGGACGTCGCGGCCATTGTTTTTGCGGGTACGGGTCCGTCGGTTTCGGTCCTTGGCCGTCTTCACTAAAGGGAGGTTTGTCCCCACCCGCGGCCTAGATTGGCATCGGGGGGTGGGGGGAGTGGTGGGCTTGAGGCTGGTGGGGGGGGGTGGGGTGGTCACGAGGTGCGTGCTATTGGTGGAGGGGGGGGTGGCCGCGGTGCTGTCAGGAGACCGCGAGCCACCCCACAGAGCCGGACGTCCGCGCAGACGCCCCCCTCCCCCCGCCTCCTCAGGAGCTCTTCGCCTCCGACGAGGAGGGCGCCGGCGCCGCGGCGGCCGTGCCCGAGGCCCGCCCTCGCGCCGGCCGGCCCGGGATGCGCGCCGGCCCCGGCCGGGAGGTGCGCCCCGCCCGGGCGCGCCCGCTGCCCGGGGAGGCTCCGTGCTCTCGGCCTCGAGTCGGGCAGGTGCCCCCTGCAGCAGGGGCCGGAGGTTGAGATGGGCCTCCTGCCCTGCCGCGTCGATGAGCGAAGGGGCCGTTTTCGGTTCGCGAGAGGGCGTCGCGGCCGTCCTTTTTGCGGGTGTCCAGGTCCGTCGGTTTGGGTCCCAGGTCGTTTTCACTAAACGGAGGTTTACTAAAGGGAGGTTTGTCCACCGCCGAAGGAGTATGCAAAGATAGTCTTTGTGATTCTTTGTGACTATATTCGTGAGTCTTTTTGGAATCGTTCTTTTTTCTTCTCTCTTTTCCAGAGTCCGCCTGCAGAAGGACATGCCCGACCTGACTCTTGGCATCGGTCGGACGTGCGCATGTTTCCTCGGCGGAGGCCGTGGAGGAACACCCCGGATCGTCGGGGAACAAGAGCGGCACGCGCGAGATCGCAGAGTGCCCTGGGGGGCGGGCGTTCGAGCGATGGCGAGCGTGCTGCGTCGCCTTCCCAGAGGGGGGCCCCTTCTGCCTGCGAGCACGGGCTGGCCGCACAGGGACTGCGTGTTTACAGAGTGCGGCCTCCGCACCCCGCGCGCACCCTGCGCGGGGAGCGGCGACCTCTTCCAGGTCTTCATCCTCCTCCTCTTCCTCGTCCCCTCCGATTACTCCACCCTTCCTCTTTCTCCTTCCTCCTCCTCTTTCTACCTCCTCCTCCTCCTCCTCCCTTTTTCCTCCCGCGTATCTCTAGGCTTCCTCTTTCCTCTTCCCGCTTGTCTCTAGGCCTCCTATAGATGGGGTCGGAGCAGTCGGAGTCGGAGGATCGCGCCGCACAGCCGATGCATTGCCGATGCATCGCCGATGTGGCTCAATATGGAGCCCGATTTCCTTCACGCGGGCGTCGCCGATGCATCGCCCACGTCGCCGATGCACCGCCAGTGCATCGCCAGTGCATCGCCGATGCATGGCGATGCAGCAGCGATGCGGCGCGACCCCCCGACCTCATTCGCCTCGACCCCCTCTGGGAGGACTCTCTTAGTGTGCAGCACCCGCGTGCCGTGTGCCCCACGCCACGCACTGACCGCGTCCGGGCTCCGAGCCGCCGCCGACAAAAAAAACTCCCAGGACGGGCCGGCCGCCGTGCCGCCGGCCTGGGGGAGCCCTCCTCGCCCGAGGGGAGGCGGAGTCTGGGCGCCGAGACCGGGGCGACTGTTCGTGGGCGTGGCCCGCCGTGGCCCGAGGAGCGCCGCTCCGGTGCTTTCTTTGGCGTGCCGGACGGTGGCGCCACGGCTGCGCCGGAGCAGATCTCGGTGCGCGGTCTGCGCCGCTGCGGGGGGCGGCTGTCGGGCCTGCGCGTGCCGGTGCCTCGCATATCTCCAGTGGTGCAGGGCCGCTGGCAGGGGAGATTCGGCAGGCTGGCCCCCGGGTGGTGCAGTCGGGGCACCATGGAATCCGCAGAAGGTGCCCTCCTCCGCTGGTCGAGGTGGGGGGACCCCCTCGCGGACGCCGACGTCGTGAATCTTGCACCCTGTGGGGCCTCCTTCCTCGCCGTTTTTTTGGGGGGGGGGCGGCTCGACGGTCCCTGATCCGCGGGTACCTGCGTTTTTACCCCCTCGGAGAGAGCTGCGTGTTTTGGAGGCCGAGCCTCGTTTCGAAAAGCACGCAGAGAGCCGCGTGTTGGGCAAGCCGAGCTCGACTTCCCAGACACGCGGTTCTCTCGATCCCCTCCACAGCTGACGATCGTGGCTGACGTGCTCGATCTGTGGAGGTCAGCCTCCAAATCGCAAGCAGCTAGCCTGGCTGCTCCTCGTCAGGGCCAGTGACGGCCAGCACAGGGGAGTTCGGTACCTTCGTACTTCCTCTTGCACGCCGGGCAATTCGCACTTCGGTTGCCCCGATTAGCCACACGTTGGAGCGGACTGCCTCTGCCTCGCCGCCGACGAAAAAAGTGTACCTTCGTACTTCCGTCTGTAGAGTGCGTCAGCGTCGATGAGCGTCTGGTAATCGATGGGATGGTGCCGATTTAGCGTGGATTAGCGTCGATGCGCGTCCACTCAGCGTCGATTTAGCTTCGATCGGCGTCGGTTGGTTAACGACGTCGATTCGCAGGAGCCAACAGGATGGTATGGGAGGCTCCATGAGATGCCGCAGAAGAGTCCGCCAGGATCCTCTCGCCCTGGCAGGCCCGAGTGGCCTCACTGGCGCTCGCTCATCCTACACTGAGGCCGCCGAGCTGTCGCTGTAGTTCTCTCGATCCCCCTGTGGTTCCAGTGGCCCGCGCGTGCGGTGGCCGCCTCTTTGCCGCCTCCCGCCCCTCGCGCGGAGATCCGCGTGCTCGCGAAGCCGAGCTCGATTTCCCAGCACACGCAGCTCTCTCGATCCTCGGCATCGTCTGACCGATCCCTTTCACCACCGGGCCATGGCATCTCGGCCCCACCTGCCCACCCTCTACGGTGGGGACCCCGCAGGAAGCCGAGGGAAGAGGCCCAGATCCGACGGCGAGCGAGGGGGGGCAGGTGAGAAGGACGAGGCTTTCTCAGAAGGCGGCGGGGCTTCGAGTCGGCCAGCGGGGCCAAGGCTGCGCCAGTGGGGATGGGGAGCGGCTTGACGGTGCTCGGATGCCTCCCGGGCGGGCAGGTCGGCCAGTGGGGCCAGGACCACGCCAGTGGCGACAGTCGGAGGTGGATGGACCTCCTACCCTGACACGTCGCTCAAGGAATTGGCCGTTTTCGGTTCGCGAGAGGGCGCCGCGGCCGTCATTTTTGCGGGTGTCCAGGTCCGCGGGTTTCGGTCCCAGGCCGTTTTCACTAAGGGGAGGTTCACTAAAGGGAGGCCTGTCCACCGCCGAGATAGGGATCGGCTCTGCGATGTGCTCAGACGCCTCTGCTCCTGCCGCGGACTCGCCTGCCTCCTGGCGGTTTCGAGACAAAAGCGAGGGAGAACGAAGACAAAACGAAGACGAAAAACACCGGTTAGGTTCAGCCCTGGCGGGCCGAGGGCGACAGGGACCGGCTCTGCGATGTGCTCGGACGCCTCTGCTCCTGCCGCGGGCTCGCCGGCCTCCCGGCGAGGGAGGGCCCGGCGCGCGCGGGCACGGCAGCCCGCCAGGTTCGCAGCCTCGTCGGCAGGCGAGGGAGGGAAGCGAGGAGGAGAGGGCCTTCTCTGATCAGGAGGGGAGAAAACGCACAGACACAATTCATGGTCGATCCCCGGGAAGATGCAGGAACATACGGGAAGCGAGGGAGGGAAGCGAGGAGGGCCTTCGTTTCGTCGCCTCTGAAGTCGAGGATCCCGAGGAGTTTTTGTCGCGTGCAGGGCGTGCTCGGCCCTGCTGAGCCTGCAGACTCTCGCGGGCCTCACGCGCCCGAGGTCAGCGCGGTGGCGGAAGTGGCAGTAGCGCCACCCGCGGCTGACCCCACCCGAGGCTGACCTTGTGGGACTTATGCTGGGGCGGTTCCCTCGGGGGCCGCCTCCATAGGAAGGGAAAGGGAAAGGGAAGGCGGCGCGACTTCTCAGAGGCCCTCGCGCCTTCAGAGAAGTCTTGCGTGTGTCTTCGGGAGGGCTCAGGACAACTTCTCGGAGGGCCGGGGAGCTTCTGAGCCTTTGAGAAGGCTCGCCCCTTCTCGCTTCCCCCCGGTCTCTTCGCCGAAAGACGAGAGCTGGCGTAACCATAGACTTTCGGAGCTTCGCGCTGACTTCTCGGATCGGCGCTGGAGAGAAGGGCCATAGGGCCATATTTTTCTTTTCCAGGTCGAAGAAGTGTTTTCCAGGTCAACAACTGCTTTCCGGGGTCCGCCGTGTGGGGCATCCTCAACAAATTCCCATTGAAGGACTGGTTCATTGGTGGGTTGGGTGGCTGATTGGCTCGCCGATTGCTGGTCACACACATTCATGCCATGCGCCAGAGCGCGTGGGCGAAAGAAGACACGGCCAGCCTATTCTCATCGCTTTGCGGGAGCGGCGGCACGACGGCGGTCGCATGATTTACTGTATGCGCGGGAGGAGGAGGAGGAGGACCAGTGTAAACCCACGAGGCTTCAACGATGTTGAAATGAACCCTGCCTCCAAGCTTCCTCTTCATAGGCCCCTACAACAGTTTGTTTCCACTGAAGGAACTGCCTCGTTGGAAGACAACCGTTTGAAGACCCTGAAGAATGCCAAAACATTATTTTTCGGGACTCCAACGCTACGGATCAACCTGGCTGTTGCGTCTTGACGATCTTGAATCGCGCCAGAACGCCGTTCCTGGAACTTCAGGACCACGAATCAACGTAACTGTGGCGCCCTCCCAATGCTGAATTTTGCCAGAACGCCATTTCGGGTACGTTGCTCACGGGAATCTGTGTCACCCTTGCAACCAGGAAATTGTTGCAATTTTTTGGAACGAATGTGCGCGGTGCTAAGGCGAGAGCCTCATTTTGAAAGCGACCCGCCCCCAATCCGTGAAACTGTTGCCACTTTTTAAGCTTCAGGGTTATATGCGGTGAGGGAGTCTCAGGCGAAACGCCCAGCTCGCCCTAAAAAGCCAGCCTCCGGGTGCGACAGGGAGAAGCTATTTAGAAGGAAAAGGAATGGAGGAGGAGGAGGAGGAGGAGGAGGAGGAGGAGGAGGAGGAGGAGGAGGAGGAGGAGGAGGAAGGGGGGGAAGAAAGGAGGGAGGACAACCAGCTGGCGAGTGATAAGTACAAATTCTGCCTTGAATGTATCTGGCCGAAGGCTGCAGACAAGCTGTAAAGGGGCGCAAGGCCAGGAGAGCAAACATGGAAGTGAAAGTTGCCTGTCGGAGTCGCCGCACATTGCGCAGGGTCCTGAACGCACTGTAACAGAGTTGAAACTTGTCGATATCATTCTGTACAGCCCTGTTGCCCATTCCCGCTGCGGCCGTCCACGCTTGCATTTGATTGCGTCCGTAGCAAAGATCACAATGTCTGGCTGAAAACTCGCTCGTCTAAGAAAATCCTGGTTCGATGCTCTATCTATTTTTCCAGACAGAGCGAGCTGCTGCCTGCAGAAGCTGGGTGCTGTAAGGGTCCTGCCAGGCCTGCTGCAATACGGCCTTGTTTGACACGTACGACAAGAATAATGCGGAAGGTGCAAAACTCTTCTGAGGTACTGGGCTTGTAAACCATCCAGCTTCCATTTTTCTGAACAGTTCAGCCACGCGTTAGAAATTGAATGCAAGCCCTTGCTTGTGATCACAGCTTGAAGCATCTCGATTTTTCGGTTCTTGCCTACAACTGTGTGCTTCAAGGCTCGTTCGTATTTTACAAACTCGGCCCATGCAGCCCCTAGACGCCTGTCACATTCTTTCGCAACCCAACCTGACTTGTACAAGGTGGCCCCTAGGTATGACAAATGATCTTGGGCACGCATCTCGCGGCCCGCAGGGGTTCGCAAACGAATGTCGCATCCTACTTGGATCAACTGGAACTTGTCCCAATGTATTTCCATCCCAGCTCGTGCTCCAGCGCACGCAACAGCATCCAGAAGCTTTTGCAAGCATTGTTGGGACCTTCCCACGAGTAGGGTGTCGTCGGCGTACAGTAAGATTGACAGACCGCCAGTTTCCAAGCGCCCTCGCTTCTTGCCCCAACTTGTCCGTCTTGCTGGTCACGGTCCAAACATGTCCCTTGGCAACAATATTCTTTTTGGGACCCACCGTGTGGGACGTTCTCCAAGCATCTTTCGGGAAGGACTGGACGGTTCTTGGGTTGGTTGGCTGGTTGGCTCGCCAGATTCTGGGCCAGGAACATTTTTTCTTTGGGTGGTTGGTTGATCGGTTGGATGGTTGGGCGGCGGTAGGTTGGTAGGGCGGTTGGTGGATTGGTTGTTGATTGCTTGGGCGGTTGGTTGGTTGGCTGGTTGGTTGGTTGGTAGGATGCGGAGCTATCGACGGTGCAGCCGCTCGACAAATGTTTTAGGCAAGCATGCTTGGTGAACGGCGCGCGCCCTAGAAAGGGCATGAAGTACTCTGGATGCCAAATTCCCCCTCATATCCTCATTCTCTTCCGCAACAGGAGGCAGAGGATGAGGAGGATGAGGAGGAGGAGGAGGAGGAGGACGCAGACGAGGAGGAGGAGGCGGAGGAGGAGGAGGACGAAGACGAGGAGGAGGAGGAGGAGGAAGAGGAGGAGGAGGAGGAGGAGGAGGAGGAGGAGGAGGAGGAGGAGGAGAGGAGGAGGAGGGAGGAGGAGGAGAGGAGGGAGGGAAGAGGAGGAGGAGGAGGAGGAGGAGGGAGGAGGAGGAGGAGGAGGAAGAGGAGGAGGCAGCGGAGGAGGAGGAGGACGTCGAGGTCTACGGATGGCGAAGGATGGCGGAGGAAACCCCATGCTGCTCGGCAATCGAAGCACAGAGACGGCACAAGCGCAGACTTCCGAAGGGTCCGCAGCGGATCTTGGGCTGCCGCCGGGCCACCCTCCCCGCGGCGGGCTCGCTGCGTCCTTCGAGCATGGCGCCTCCTCTCGCCTCGCTGGCAGGCAGGCAAGAGCCGTCTCCTGACGGCGCATCGCTAGGGAGCCGCAAAAGGACGTACGCGCCGAAGTCTTGGGGTCGCAAAAGGACGTACGCACCGAAGTGGTACACGAATACGGTCGGGAACTCTGGCTTAGCGTGTCGCGCCGCCTGTTCTGGCCGGTGCTCGTTTGGCACCCTCTGCCAGCCGCCGAGGCGTCACCCACGGCGCGGCGGTGGGCGTCACGTCGGTGGCTCTCCACGGCAGCGGCCCCGCAGCGGGCTCGCGGCGTCCTTCAAGCGCGGCGCCCTCGCTCGCCTCGCCGAGGGTGGTGCCCGTTTGGCACCCTCCGCCCGCCGCCGAGGCGGCGTCACTCCGCACGGCGGCGGGCGCCGGCCTGGCGGCTTTCTCCGGGGCAGCGGCCTCTCCTGGGGCCGCCTCTCGAGCAAGCCGCCCCTCCCCCCGGGAGATCCTCCGGCACGCCACGGTCTCTGCCCGGGCCCCCCCCCTCTCCTCCTCCGGTTCACCGCAGCGGTCGGGCGTGGGGGGCTTGGACCCCCCCCCGACGTGCCGGTGCTCGCGCGCGTGTTCTGGCGATCGCGGCTCACCGCCGCCCCGACGTGCCCCACCCCGCCCACGGATTGCCGTTCCCTGGGGCTCCAGCCCCCGCCCCCCCCCCCCCAGAGCACGACCACTGCTGGAGCTGAGAGAACAACAGTCTCCTGGCCCGCTTCGCCAGAGGCGGGGAAGAAGGAGAAGAAGGCGAAGAAGGAGAAGAAGGACCGCGCCGCCGGTTCTCTCTCGCAGGGCTCCCCTGGCCCCTGGCGTCGCATGTTGTTGTTTCCTGGCGTCGCATGTTTTGTCAGCAAAAACCCCGCGGTCTCGCCCTGTTTCGGGCCCCCGGGCCCCCGCGGATCGGGCCGTCTCGGGAGGAGCCGCAGAGAGGCGGGCCCACGGCTGGGCACTGTTGGGCAGCGTGTCGATCCTGGCCCACCACCTACTTTTGCGGCGGCGAGCAAGGGGGGGGGACGTGAGAAGGAGAAGGCCTTCGCAGAAGGCGACGGGACTTCTCAGAAGCCCTCGCGCCTTCTGAGAGGTTTTTTGTGTCTTCGGGGAAGTCTGAGGAAGCTTCTCAGAAGGGTGGGGGACTTTCAAGCCTTCTGAGAAGGCCCGCCCCTCCTCACTTCCCCCCTATGCTCACCGCCGATCTTTGGCGCGACAAGCTTTGGCTGGCAGTGAAACTCGGCCCTCCCCTCCTCGTCCTTCCCCTCCTCGTCCTCCACAAGCGGCCTTCTGCAAGTACGACGACGACGGCGGCGGCCACGATGACGACGGCGGAGGCTTGAGCGGTGGCTGCCGCGGGGTCGCTTCCCACTCCCCAGGCTCTAACGCCCCGACCCTTTTCCGAGCCTCCCGCCCCGCGGAGCGGAGCGACACGCTATTCGCTCGCATGGCATAGCGTGTCGCTGGGGCTGCCGCCGCGACAGGCTATGCAACAGTTCCTGACCGTGCACATAGTTCTCGAGCGCCTGCGCCTGCAGGGGGGCCGCGACGCGGACCCCGCGCCCTCCCTGCGCCACCCAAGCCCCGAGCCTGTGGAAAGGTCGTGGATCTGCCGGCGTGTGGTGAGGTCAGGGGCAACTCTGGGGGAGGGATAGGCTTAGGGAGGTATGCTTCGACCCCCAATCGCCCATCGATCGCCGATAGGGGGCCCGCTAGCCCCCCCCCCCCCCCTCCCCCCCAACCCCTGGAACGTGCGGATTCGCTGTTGGGGGCCGATCGCCGATGTATCGGCGGTGTATCGCTCACTCCGGGTCGATGTTTCCCCCTTTGAGCCAGTCCCCCCCCTAACGTTGCCCCTCATGAGGACAAGAGGGCACATCAAGTACAGTATATTTGTGCCAGGCAGCTCTGCAGGTCCCCAGAGGTCCCCGAAGGTTCCTGGAGGTCCCCCTGAGGGCTCTGAAGATCTCTGGATGCACCTGGAGGCGTGCGGAGGCGCCCTAAAGCGAGACAAAGGCTGAAAACGTACCAAACTTGGATCCTCGATCCGCGTACCTCCTCCTCACCTAGTGGAGCGCAGCTCCCTTTCGGGCGAGCGAAACAGCAGAGTCGATTGGCTGACCAGCTGGCTGGCGGCTCGCCAGGACAAGTCCGAGAAGAAAGACAAGAAGGACAAGAAGGCCAAGAAGGAGGCAGTGCCCCCTCGTGCTGCTCCTCCTCCGTCTCCTCCTCGGTCACCTCTGCTTCTTTATCCTCCATCTTCTCCTCCTCCTCTTCCTCCTCCTCCTCCTCCTCCTCCTGCGCCCCCTCTCTCAGGGGATGAAGGATGTCATGTGGGGGAAGCGGAAGGTGAGGAGGATGAGGAGGGAGTGCACGAGGAGGAATAGTGGGAGAAGTGGGGGGATGATGAGGAGTGAGTTTGAGGGAGCGGATGAGGTGGAGGAGGGGGGAGTGGTCAAGGAGGGGACAGAGGCGTACGGATGATGAGGGAGGGGACAGAAGCAGACGTAGCGCATGAGGACTAAGCCTTATGCCGTTCGCCACAAGAAGCTCCCAGGAGGCCCCAAGAGCCCTCCAAGAAGCCCCAAGAGGCCCCCAAGAGGCCCCCAACAGGCCCCCAAAGGGGCTCGAAAAGGGCCGCAATAGGACTTCCAAGAAGGCCCAGAGAAGCCACATAAAGAGCGATCGGTAGCGCAAAAAGCTCTTCACACCAAGGCTCCCAATAGCGAACGGTGACGTAAACACGCTGATAAGACCAAGGCTCCCAGCAGGGAGCGGTGACGTAAGAAGTTCCTGACACCAAGGCCCAGCCAAGGCTTAGGAACGGGCGGCAACGCAACAATCTCTGAACACCAAGGCTCCCAAGAGTGCGGGGTGACGTGACAAGCTCTCAACGCCAAGGCTCTGGGTACGAACGGTGGTGTTAGTAATTTCGGTCAAGTTGTTGAAGCGCTCTTTCCGTTTTCCGTGCCGGCCCAGGTAACGGAAAGAGCGAGGTACGAGTGATGACGTTCTGGTGTGGGCGAAGCCCTTAAGGGGGGGTTCCAGGGGGGGTGTAGCGCGAGCAAATGAGTGTTAATGGTCGTTTTCGGGATTTCCCTAGGGTTTTTGTATGTTTTTCGGGTTTCCCCCCCAAGACGGCCAAGAGCGCTCCAAGAGAGCCCAAGACCGCCGAAGACGGCCCAAGAGGCCCCCAAGAGGCCCCCAAGAGGCGCCCAAGGGGCGTCCCAAGAGGGCCCCAAGAAGCCAAAATCATTGATTAGAGGCGCCCAAGACGGCCCAAGAGGGTCCCAAGACGGCCCCAAGTGGGGGACCACGAACCGAAAAGTTTAGCCTATCGCCCCAAGACGCTCCCGGGAGGCCCCCACAGCCCCCAAAGAAGCCCCAAGAGGCCCCCAAGAGGCGTCCGACGAGGCTATCAGGAGGCCAAAATCATTGGTCTCCTATCGGAAAACGTACATTTTAGCCTACACGGTTTTTCGGCTTCCACGGCGTTGAAGACTGTCCAAGAGGCTCCTAAGACCACCCCAAGACGGCCCTAGAGGCTCCCAAGAGGCCCCCATGACGGCCCCAGAGGGCACCAAGACGGCCCAAGAGGCGCCCAAGACGGCCCAAGAGGGCCTCAAGACGGCCCCAGAAGGGGGACCACGAACCCGAAAGTTTCGCCTTTCGCCCCAAGATGCTCTCAGGAGGCCCCCACAGACCCCCAAGAAGCCCCAAGAGGCCCCCAAGAGGCCCCCAAAGGGGCTCAAAAAGGGCCGCAATAGGACTCCGAAGAAGGCTCAGAGAAGCCAATAAAGAGCGATCGGTACCGCCAAATGCTCTGCACACTGAGGCTCCCAAGAGCGAGCGGTGACGTAAACAAGCTGATATGACCAAGGCTCCCAGCAGAGAGCGATGAGGTAACAAGTTCCTGACGCCAGGTGCGGCGACGCAACAATCTCTGAACACCAAGGCTCCCAAGAGCGCGGGGTGACGTAACAAGCTCTCAACGCCAAGGCTCCCAGTACGAACGGTGGTGTTAGTAATTTCGGTCAAGTTGTTGAAGCGCTCTTTCCGTTTCCGTGCCGGCCCAGGTGACGGAAAGAGCGAGGTACGAGTGAGTGACGTTGAGCAGGGGCGAAGCCCTTCTAGGGAGGGGTCCATGGGAGGGGCGAGGCGCGTGGGCGGGGTCTAATGGCCTTATTTTTAAGGTTTTCCCCAGGGTTTTTGTATGTTTTTTCGGATTCTCCCTCCAGACGGCCGAAGAGCGCTCCAAGAGAGCCCCAGACCGCCCAAGACGGCCCAAGAGGCCCCCAAGAGGCCCCCAAGAGGCGCCCGAGGGGCGTCCCAAGAGGGCCCCAAGAGGCCAAAATATTGATTTTCCCGAGGCAGACGTAGATTTTTAGCATCTACGGCTTTTCGCCTTTCATGGCGTTGACGACGGCCCAAGAGGCCCCCAAGACCGCCCCAAAACGGCCCAAGAGGCTTCCAAGAGGCCACCCAAACGGCCCAAGAGGGCCCCCAGACGGCCCAAGAGGCGCCCAGGACGGTCCAAGAGGGCCCCCAGAAGGCCCCAAGAGGGGGACCACGGACCGAAAAGTCGAGCCTCAAGACGCTCCCGGGAGGCCCCCACAGCCCCCAAAGAAGCTCCCAAGAGGCGTCCGACGAGGCCATCAGGAGGCGACAATCATCGTGCATTTTTAGCATGCACGGCTTTTCGGCGTCCACGGCGTTGAAGACGGTCCAAGAGGCGCCCAAGACCGCCCCAAGACGGCCCCAGAGGCTCCCAAGAGGCCCCCAAAACGGCCCAAGAGGGCGCCCAGACGGCCCAAAAGGCGCCCAAGACGGCCCAAGAGGGCCCCAAGACGGCCCCAGAATGGGGACCACGAACCCCAAAGTCTAGCTTTTCGCCCCAAGACGCTCCCAGGAGGCCCCCACAGACCCCCAAGAAGCCCCAAGAGGCCCCCAAGAGGCCCCCAAAGGCGCTCAAAAAGGCCCGCAATAGCACTCCCAAAAAGGCTCAGAGAAGCCAATAAAGAGCGATCGGTAACGCAAAATGCTCTTCACACTGAGGCTCCCAAGAGCGAGCGGTGACGTAAACAAGCTGATAAGACCAAGGCTCCCAGCAGGGAGCGATGAGGTAACAAGTTCCTGACACCAATACCCAGCCAAGGCTCAGGAACGGGCGGCACCGCAACAATCTCTGAACACCAAGGCTCCCAAGAGCGCGGGGTGACGTAACAAGCTCTCAACGCCAATGCTCCCAGTACAAACGGTGGTGTGAGTAATTGCGGTTCATTTGTTTGAGGCGCTCTTTCCGTTTCCGTGCCGGCCCAGGTTTAATGGTCGTTTTGGGTTTTTTCCCTAGGGTTTTTCCCCACATGTTTCGTGGGGTTCTGGTTTTCTTCTTTACCGCGCCGCACCGCGAGCCGCACACCTCACTCTTCCCCTCCTCTTCTTCCTCTCCTCACCCGCGCTCTGCACATGCACCAACATGCACGGCAAGTATATGAGACACGCGTCTCACCCGCGTTTCTCCTCCTCATTCCCCACATGTTTCGTGGGGTTCTGGTTTTCTTCTCTGCCGCGTCGCACCCGCGTCTCCTCACACACACACACACCTCCCCTCCCCCCACACACACACACACAGCACAGCACAGCTCGCACAGCTCAGCTCAGCACAGCACAGCTCAGCACGGCACAGCACAGCTCACCGCAGCACAGCACAACACAGCACGGCAGAGCACAGCACAGCGGGTCGGACAGCACAGCACGGCAGAGCACCACAGCACAGCGGGTCGGAGAGCGTGGCAGGAGTGGCACTTTCTCGACACCACAGGGGGTGCGCAGAGGGTGGTCCCTCAGCGCGGCCTCTATCCGTGACACGCTCGCAGATCGTGGCAGGAGTGGCACTTTCTCGACACCACAGGGGGTGCGCAGAGGGTGGTCCCTCAGCGCGGCCTCTATCCGTGACACGCTCGCAGATCGTGGCAGGAGTGGCACTTTCTCGACACCACAGGGGGTGCGCAGAGGGTGGTCCCTCAGCGCGGCCTCTATCCGTGACACGCTCGCAGATCGTGGCAGGAGTGGCACTTTCTCGACACCACAGGGGGTGCGCAGAGGGTGGTCCCTCAGCGCGGCCTCTATCCGTGACACGCTCGCAGATCGTGGCAGGAGTGGCACTTTCTCGACACCACAGGGGGTGCGCAGAGGGTGGTCCCTCAGCGCGGCCTCTATCCGTGACACGCTCGCAGATCGTGGCAGGAGTGGCACTTTCTCGACACCACAGGGGGTGCGCAGAGGGTGGTCCCTCAGCGCGGCCTCTATCCGTGACACGCTCGCAGATCGTGGCAGGAGTGGCACTTTCTCGACACCACAGGGGGTGCGCAGAGGGTGGTCCCTCAGCGCGGCCTCTATCCGTGACACGCTCGCAGATCGTGGCAGGAGTGGCACTTTCTCGACACCACAGGGGGTGCGCAGAGGTCCCTCAGCGCGGCCTCTATCCGTGACACGCTCGCAGATCGTGGCAGGAGTGGCACTTTCTCGACACCACAGGGGGTGCGCAGAGGGTGGTCCCTCAGCGCGGCCTCTATCCGTGACACGCTCGCAGATCGTGGCAGGAGTGGCACTTTCTCGACACCACAGGGGGTGCGCAGAGGGTGGTCCCTCAGCGCGGCCTCTATCCGTGACACGCTCGCAGATCGTGGCAGGAGTGGCACTTTCTCGACACCACAGGGGGTGCGCAGAGGGTGGTCCCTCAGCGCGGCCTCTATCCGTGACACGCTCGCACAGGAGTGGCACTTTCTCGACACCACAGGGGGTGCGCAGAGCGCGGCCTATCCGTGACACGCTCGCAGATCGTGGCAGGAGTGGCACTTTCTCGACACCACAGGGGGTGCGCAGAGGGTGGTCCCTCAGCGCGGCCTCTATCCGTGACACGCTCGCAGATCGTGGCAGGAGTGGCACTTTCTCGACACCACAGGGGGTGCGCAGAGGGTGGTCCCTCAGCGCGGCCTCTATCCGTGACACGCTCGCAGATCGTGGCAGGAGTGGCACTTTCTCGACACCACAGGGGGTGCGCAGAGGGTGGTCCCTCAGCGCGGCCTCTATCCGTGACACGCTCGCAGATCGTGGCAGGAGTGGCACTTTCTCGACGCCACAGGGGGTGCGCAGAGGGTGGTCCCTCAGCGCGGCCTCTATCCGTGACACGCTCGCAGATCGTGGCAGGAGTGGCACTTTCTCGACACCACGGGGGGTGCGCAGAGGGTGGTCCCTCAGCGCGGCCTCTATCCGTGACACGCTCGCAGATCGTGGCAGGAATGGCACCTTCTCGACACCACAAGGGGCGGATCTCCCTCAGCGCGGCCTCTATCCGTGACACGCTCGCAGATCAGTGACACTTTCTCGACAACACAGGGGGTGCGCAGAGGGTGGTCCCTCAGCGCGGCCTCTATCCGTGACACGCTCGCAGATCGTGGCAGGAGTGGCACTTTCTCGACACCACAGGGGGTGCGCAGAGGGTGGTCCCTCAGCGCGGCCTCTATCCGTGACACGCTCGCAGATCGTGGCAGGAATGGCACTTTCTCGACACCACAGGGGGTGCGCAAAAGGCGGTCCCTCAGCGCGGCCTCTATCCGTGACACGCTCGCAGATCGTGGCGGGAGTGGCACTTTCTCGACACCACATGGGGGTGCGCAGAGGGTGGTCCCTCAGCGCGGCCTCTATGCGTGACACGCTCGCAGATCGTGGCAGGAGTGGCATTTTCTCGACGCCACAAGGGGTGCGCAGAGGGCTGTCCCTCAGCGCGGCCTCTATCCGTGACACGCTCGCAGATCGTGGCAGGAGTGGCACTTTCTCGACACCACGGGGGGTGCGCAGAGGGTGGCCCCTCAGCGCGGCCTCTATCCGTGACACGCTCGCAAATCGTGGCAGGAGTGGCACTTTCTCGACACCACAAGGGGTGCGCAGAGGGTGGTCCCTCAGCGCGGCCTTTATCAGTGACACGCTCGCAGATCGTGGCGGGAGTGGCACTTTCTCGACACCACAGGGGGTGCGCAGAGGGTGGTCCCTCAGCGCGGCCGCTATGCACGACGGTCGTCCATGGTATAGCAGGCGTGGCACTTTCTCGACGTCATAGGGGGTGCGCAGGGGGTGGTCCCTCACCGCGGCCGTCATGCACGACGGTCGTCCAGGGCATAGCAGGCGCGGCATTTTCTCGACACCGTAAAGGCTGCGCAGGGGGTGGTCCCTCACCGCGGCCGTCATGCACGACGGTCGTCCAGGGCATAGCAGGCGTGGCACTTTCTCGACACCATAGAGGGTGCGCAGGGAGTGGTCCCTCACCGCGGCCGCTGGCTGGCTCGAATCTGTCCTCGATGGAGGATAGAAGGCTAGGAAGAGGGAGGAGGTTCAAGCAATATGGCGTTGGATGACACAGAGGGGAACATTCGCGACGAGGGCTGAGAACGCAGAATTGCGCATATATGATAAACTTAAGCAAGCACATGATATTTAAATTAAGTATGTGGGGTTCCTCGGTAGCGTAATTGCATGTTTTTCGGATTCTCCTTCAAGACGGCCCAAGAGCGCTCCAAGAGAGCCCAAGACCGCCCAAGACGGCCCAAGAGGCCCCCAAGAGGCCCCCAAGAGGCGCCCAATGGGGCGTCCCAAGAGGACCCCAATATGCCCAAATCATTGATATCCCACAAAGGAAAACGTATATTTTTAGCATATACGGCTTTCCGCCTTTCACGGCGTTGACGACGGCCCAAGAGGCCCCCGAGACCGTCCCAAGATGGCCCAAGCGGCTCCCAAGAGGCCCCCAAAACGGCCCAAGAGGGCCCCCAGACGGCCCAAGAGGCGCCCAAGACAGCCCAAGAGGGCCCCAAGACGGCCCCAAGAGGGAGACCACGAACCGAAAAGTCGAGCCTATCGCCCCAAGACGCTCCCGGGAGGCCCCCACAGCCCCCCAAGAAGCCCCAAGAGGCCCCCAAGAGGCGTCCCACGAGGCCATCAGGAGGCCACATCATCGATTTTCTATGGGAACAGGTACATTTTTAGCATGCACGGCTTTGCGGCTTTCACGGCGTTGAAGACGGTCCACGAGGCCCCAAAGACCGCCCCAAGACGGCCCAAGAGGCTCCCAAGAGGCCCCCCAAACGGCCAAAGAGGGCCCCAAGACGGCCCAAGAGGGCCCCAAGACGGCCCAAGAGGGCCCCAAGACGGCCCCAAGAGGGGGACCACGAACCCGACAGTCTAGCCTTTCGCCCCAAGACGCTCCCAGGAGGCCCCCAGAGACCCCCAAGAAGCCCCAAGAGGCCCCCAAGAGGTTTCCAAGAGGCCACCAGGAGGGCCCGAAAAGGGCCCCAATAGAACTCCCGAGAAGGCCCAGAGACGCCAAGAGCGATCGGTAACGCAAAAAGCTCTTCACACCAAGGCTCAAAAGAGCGAACGGTGACGTAAAAAAGCTGATAAGACCAAGGCTCCCAGCAGAGAGCGGTGACGTAACAAGTTCCTGACACCGAGGCCCAGCCAAGGCTCAGAAACGGGCGGCAACGCAACCATCTCTGAAATCCAATGCTCCCAAGAGCGAGGGGTGACGTCACAAGCTCTCAACATCAAGGCTCCCGGTGCGAACAGTGGTGTGAGTCATTTCGGTTTCTGTTTCTGAAGCGCTCTTTCCGTTTCTGTGCCGGGCCAGGTGACGGAAAGAGCGAGTTACGAGCGAGTGACGTTGAGTAGGGGGCGAAACCCTTCTTAGGGGGGGTCCAGGGGGGGTGCGAGGTCCAGACGGAAAGTCTAATAGCCCGTTTCCCTGGTATTTTTTCGAGTGAAGCGGCTCCCGGGCGGCCCCCATGGCCCGTTTTTTAATTTTTTTTTCCAGGTGAAGCGGCCCAAGGGCCCCAAGACGGCCCAAGACAAGAGGGCCCCAAGACGGCCCCAGGAGAGTTTCAGATGGCCGCTGGACGGTCCAAGAGGGTCTCGAGACGGCCCCAGAGGCCCTCCAGAGGGCCCCCGAGAGGGCCTCAGGAGGCGAAAAACCTTCATTTTCCTATGATTTTTGCAGGGTTTTCGGGCTCTCCCGTTTTCCGTCCCAGAAGGGACCCAGACGGCCCAAGAGGCCCCAAAGATCGTCCCAAGACAGCCCCAGAGGCGCCCCAAATGGGCCCAAAACGGTCCCAGACGGGCCCCAAAACGGCCCAGAGGTCCCAAATATCCTCCCAAGACCGTGCCGCCAGCGCCCCAAACGGGCCCAAAACGGTCCCAGAGGGCCCCCAGACGGGCCCAAGACGGCCTAAGAGGCCCCAAAGATCATCCCAAGACGGCCCCCGAGGCACCCCAAAGGGGCCCACAACGGCCCCAGATGGCCCCCAGTCGGCCCCAATACGGCCAAGAGGGCCCCGAGGGCTCCAAGAGAGCCCAAGCTTGCCCCAAGAAGGCTCGGAGAAGCCAAATAAAGAGCGATCGGTACCGCAAAATGCTCTTCATACCAAGGCTCCCAAGAGCGAACGGTGACGTAAACAAGCTCATAAGACCAAGGCTCCCAGCAGAGAGCGGTGACGTAACAAGTTCCTGACACCAAGGCCCAGCCAAGGCTCAGGAACGGGCGGCAACGCAACAATCTCTGAACACCACGGCTCCCAAGAGCGCGGGGTGACGTAACAAGCTCTCAACGCCAAGGCTCCCAGTACGAACGGTGGTGTGAGTAATTTCGGTCCAGTTGTTGACGCGCTCATTCCGTTTCCGTGCCGGCCCAGGTCTAATGGCCTTCGGCAAATCTTGCCACCGTGCCCGCCTGGGTCGTGGACAAGAGACCTCTCAGAGGCCTCTCAGGGTCTCTTGCAGGGCCTCTTTTGAGGGCCTGTTTTGGGGGCCCTTATAGTGGTCTCTGGGGGCCTCTGGGCGCTTCTTGGGTGCCTCTGGGGGCCTCTGGGGGGCCTCCTGGGGCCCCCCTAGCGGTCTCAGGGGCCATCTGGGGAAAGGGCTTGACATGCTAGTTCGGGTTCCTCCTGTTGGGCCCCTCTTGGAGCCGTCTTGGGGGCCTCTTGGGTCTTCTTCTCATGGGCCTCGGGTGTCCTCTTGGGGGTCTCTGGGGGGCTTCTTGGGCCTTCTTGGACGCTCTTAGTATAGAACGTCCAAGTATGATGAATTCAAACATAATCATTTCGGGTTTCAGTGATTTTGGCCTTTTGGGCCAGCCCCCAGGCTTTCAAGACAGTCCAACGCGGGGGCAGGTTTATCGGTTTACATACATGACGCCTCGCTGCTTACCCCCCCTGGCTCTCTCTCTCTCTCTCTCTGTCCCTCCCCCCTCTTACATATTTATATATATATATATATATATATATATATGTATGTAGATATACCTCGCATTATTTCCTTCTTGTACTCTTCTTTCACCCTCGTCCTCCCTCCCTCCCCCCTGTAACTGTTGCTCCAGGCACTTCCTGCACCTGCCCTCTGCGTCCCTCGACCTGCCCCCCTGACAGGGGAAGGACGACAAAGAGAACGTGGAGGTCACGAAGCCCATGCAGGAGCCGGCTGCGGACGACAAGGAAATTGACCTGGAGGGGGCGAAGCAGAGCAAGCTGAGCGCCTTCCTCAGGGGCTCCTCCTCCTCCTCCTCCTCCTCGCCCTCCTGCCCCTTCCGCTTCTCCACCCTCCGGCCCTCCCCTCGTCGGAGGGCGCCAGCTACTGTATTCACTTGCTCCGATGCTGGCCAGCCCGACCCGGGGCCCAGGACCGGTGTAGATGCACGCTTTGCCACAGGGGTGGACCGGAACGGTGTTTTTGGCGATTTCGTGGGCCGTTTTCGTTTCGATGTCGTTTTGCAGGAAAGGCGAATTCAAGACAAATCGAGGAAGCACTCAAAGAAAACGAAAACGAAAAACACCGTACAGGTTCAGCCCTGCTTTGCCAAGCCAGGAGGGCGCTTTCACCGGCCCTGGGCCCGTGGTGGGGGCCTGGCCGGGATCGGTGCAGGCGTGCAGTTGACGCCCTCCCATCTCTGCATCTGCCCTTGCCTCTGCGGCCCTGCTCGCTTTTCTCCTGCCTCTTTCTCCTCTCCCCCCCATCGTGCCCTCTTCCTTCCTTCTCCTCCTCCTCCTCCTCCTCAACCTCCTCCTCCTCCTCCTGCTCCTCCTTCTCCTCCTCCTCCTCTGCTCGCTTTCCTCCTGCCTCTTTCTCCTCTCATCCTCGTCGTGCCCTCTTCCTCCGTCGCCCTCCTCCGAGTATCACATCTGGTGTCCTGTGCTACGGAGAGAGCATGCGCTCACCAGGGTTGGCGGGAGAGGTTGGCCAGGAGGGTTGGCCAGGGCTGGTCGGGATTGGCCGACTGCTTGGCCCGCGTTGGTTGCAGCGTTGGCGGGGGTAATTCGTTGGGTATGACAGGCCTGTTTTCCACCCCCACCACCATAAGTTGGAGGTGGAGGGGGAGGGGGTCCTCCTCCTCCTCCTCCTCCTCCTCCTCCTCCTCCTCCTCTTTCCCCCCTCCAACTTATGGTGGTGGTGGTGGAAAACAGGCCCATCGGGGTAGTTCTTCCATGGGACAAAAGTCGTGTTCCTGCGCAGCTCGTGCCCGCGCTGCCCGCTCCCGCGGCCCGGGAGAGTCCGGGGGCAGGCGCCCGTGTGCAGGTGCGGTCGTCTGGGCACTTTCTTCCGCGGAGCATCCTGCGGCTGGGCAGAGCGGTTTGGGGGGGGATGGGGGGAGTGCGCGAAGAGTGCGCCCGTCGTCCGTTCGTCGCTCGTCGCTAGTCTTAAGGCGGGCCTGTCCCTCTACAGGAGGAATATTCAAAGACAGCAAAGAAATGCTCGGGACGATTTTTTGAGTTTTTTTTGACCATTTGGGGGTATCTTTTTCGACGATTTTTGATTTCTCGTCCAAAATCCCCCTGTAGGAGGACAGGCCCGACTTAACGCTAGTCCGTCGCTCGTCCGTCGTGTCGTGTCTTTCCATATCCCTGCCGCGGGGCTCGTCTTGCGCAGGTCCACAAAGTGGACGGTGCTCTCCTGCTGCCCCTTCGCTGCGCCGAGCTGCTCGCTAAGCGTTTGGTGCGGATCGTGCGGGGGCGGGGCGAAGTCCGCGATGCACCCCGGGTTTGGGTGGCCCAAGAACTCAAGGCGCCCGCCTCAAAGAGTTTAAAAGGAGTCGATGTGTCGCTTCTGAGGTTCCGAGCAAAAATGATCTAAAAAGAGTTTACAACCTCGACAATGACACGGCAAATCCCGATTTCACCATTGCCGCCCCGTAAATCTGACACGCCCGCTCCGTTACGCCTCGGTGGGGGGCCGAATCGCGCTTGGGGGTGAGTTCGGGGGCCTGGACGGGTCGTCGGGCGGAGCAACATTGGGGAGGGTGCTTCTTGAAGAACTCGGAGGCTCTCTCGGAGGAGGAAAAGGTATCCATACCGCTTCCCTTGCCTCGTTTTCCCGTTTTTGGGCCTCCTGGGAAGCCTTTGTCGCTACCGCTGGATTCGCCCCGAAATCTTCGTCAGAACGCGCCCCAGGAGAGGTCCGCAGCGGTATTGGTACCTTTTGGCTTCCCCAATCTCGGCCTCGAGGTCGGCGTCCTTTGGTCCGCTCGTCCTCGACTGCTGCAGCCGGTGCTGAGCCCGCCGCCTCCAAAGGCTCCCGAAGCCGCAGCCGCTGCCGCCGCCGAAGCCGCAGCGGAGCCTGCGGAGGCGGTCTCGTCAGGCGCCACTCCACCGTCCTGGCCCTGTCCTGCACCACCCACCAGACCACCCCAAAACCCAACCCGAAGGCCCAATCAGCCCTCCATTTCCAGGGGGGGCGGGTCTCTGGGAGCACTGAACAAAAACAAACGTGGGGAACCCCTCTCGCCCTCCTCCTCCTCCTCCTCCTCCTCCTCCTCCTCCTCCTCCTCCACCTCCGGCGTCCAACTTTCCGACTCCGGCGTCTAACTTTCCGACTCCAGCTCCCGTCTCTCCAACTCCGGCGTCCAATTTTCCGGCTCCAGCTGCTATGTATCCGACTTTGGTGATGGCATCTCCGACAGCGGCTCCTATGTCTACGACTCCTGATTTCAAGTTTCTACTCCAGGTCCCATCTCTGCGACGCTTGCGGCCATTTTTTGATTGATAACTCCTCTGGTGTGTTATGGTCTGCAGGTCCATTTGACACGTCTGCGCAAAATGGGACTCTGGCTGATCGCCGTGAGGGGGCTCGGAAGATGTCATACAAAAACGCAATCCGAATGGAAAGATGTCTTTGTCGCGTTGGATACATACCGCTCGCGACAAACAGCACTGCGTCCACCAGTGAGCGGCAGGCCAACCTTCAGAATATAGCATTTTGGGTGTTTAGACGTGTGCAGTGTTTCACCTGCTTCTAGGGCCCCGCCCCCCCCGCGCCGACCCTCAAGGGTCCTGCTCTGGCGGATCTGCTCGCTTCGCTTCGCTTCGCTTCGCTTCCTCCTCCTCCTCCTCCTCCTCTTCCTCCTCCTCCTCCTCCTCCTCCTCCTCCTCCTCCTCCTCCTCCTCCCCTTTTGTCCCCCTCAACCCGAAATTGGGGTGTTCGGGCCAGGTCGGGGTGGTTTTGGGCAGTGCTCCGTCCTGGCCCCGCCCTTCTGCCGCCGTCCATCCCCTGGGGGGCCTGCCGGCTCCTGGGGCTCTGCCTCCGAGGTCGTTGGGCGGTGCGCCGCGCGAGCCTGGTGCGAGCAGAGACCAGAGGTCGCAAGCTGGAGCATATGCACTGCCAGCGGCGGGTTGTGTTTTTTCAATCCAACGACTTTTTGAAGGTCGGGGACGACGTCGGGGTGGTGTAGTGTATACTTTTCCCTTGTTTTCCCAGGGAAGCAACGACTAATGTATACACCAGGATCCTGTATACACCAGGATCCGCGTTCCTGTGCGAATTTCAGCGCAGGGTCGGAAAAAGCGTCCGTGTATAGAGTTCGTTTTTCTAAGATGCTCTCCTCGTCGTCCGCCTTGTCGGGGTGGCCTGGGACCAGCGTCCCGTTTGCTTCCGTCGTGGCGCGGGGCTTGCCACCCGCGTGCCCCCGTTGTCGGCAGAGCTCGCACAGTACTCGCCAGAGAGTTGCGCGCTCTCCCCCGGAGCTCGCGCGATCCGGAGCTTACGCGCTCACCGGGAGACTCCGGCGGGGATGGCAGGGCGAGGGGGGCCGCCGTGTAAGAGTGTACCCTGTCTCTCATACGCCTTCCTGCCTTCGCGAGGAGCTTTCCTGGACGCCTCTAAGAATGGGCAGCATGACGACCCTTTCTCTTTCAAGAAACCCGTTTCCTGCCCAGAAGGCCGCCCAGTTTGCCCTGCCTCTTACTGCGCGCCACCCGCCAGCGGCCCAGAATTGGCGAGCGACCCTGCGGATCCAGGGCGGTGTCAGAGACCATACGCATCGTCACTGCACGAAGCTGCCGCAGCCAGCTGACCCTGGAGGAGGGCAGGCAGGGGGAAGATGAGCAGGGCTATAGAGGGCAGGGGCATCTGCAGCAGACCCTCTCCTGCTGGTGGTCCCCAGGGGTCAGGTCTCCGGACGCCCCAGCAAGGGGGTCTTGGGGTCTCGGACACCGTGAGAGCACCTCGATCCTCGTCAAGCCTCGACCTTCCTCGATCCTCGTGGACGTCTCCAGAAGTCTCTGAAGATGCCTGAAGGCCTTCAGAGGCCCCCTGGAGGCTTCTAGGGGCCTCCGTAGGCCCCCCAAAAGGGCCTCACACGGCAGAGGTATTTCGATCGTCGAAAAAGTGCGTTCTGTGGTCGCTTGGAGGGGGGGGGGGTTGGAACCGGACCCCCCCCCTGGATGGAAGGGGGGGGATGGGGGTTCGAACTCCCGCCCCCCCCTCCTCCCCTACTTTTCCTCTCACCCTCTCCTCGGCCCGTCGCTGGCGTCGGCGGCGGCTGGCGGCGGCGGCGGGGAGCGTCGATGAAGATGACGACTTCCTCTTCTGGACCGACACTGGCGCCAGCGGCGGCTGGCGGCGGCGGCGGGGAGCGTCGCCGAGGACGACGGCGACGACGACGACGACGACGACGATAACGCTCCGCCACCGTGCATTGGTTTTGGGTCAGAGTCCTAATGGATGCCTCATGGGGTCTCGTCGGAGGGCTCTCGGGGGCCTCTGAAGGGCATTTGTGAAGCCTCCTGGGCGCCTCTTGGGCGTCTCGTGGGGCCTCTCTGTGGTGGTGGTGGGCTGTGGTGGTGGTGGGTGGTGGTGGGTGGTGGTGGTGGTGGGTTGTTGTAGTGGTGGTGGTTGTTGTGGTGGCTCTGGTAGCATGTTGTGGTGGTGGTGGTGGTGGTGGTGGCGGTGGTGTTGGTGTTGGTGTTGGTGTTGGTGCAGTGGTGGTGGTGGTGGTGGTTGTTGTGGTGGTTCTGGTAGCAGGTTGTGGTGGTGGTGGTGGTAGTTGTGGTGGTGGTGGTGGTGGTGAGGTGGTTTGTCGTGGTGGTTGTGGTGGTGGTGGTAGTGGTTGTGCAGGTGGTGGGTTGTGGCGGTGGTGGTGGTGGCGGTGGTGGTGGTTATGGTGGCGGTGGTGGTGGTGGTTTGTTGTTGTGGTGGTGGTGGGTGGTGGTGGCGGTGGTGGTGGGTTGGGGTGGTGGTGGTGGTGTGGTTCTGTGGTTTCCCGTGATGGTGACGGTTGTGGTTGTGGGTGGTGGTTGTGGTGGTGGTTGTGGTGGTGTGGTGGTGGTTTGTGGTGGTGGTGGTGGTGGGTTGTGGTGGTGGTGGTGGCGGTGGAGGTGGTGGTTGTGGTGTGGTGGGTTGTGGTGGTGGTGTTGGCGGTGGTGGTGGTGGCGGTGGGTTGTGGAGGTGGTGCTGGGGGTGGTGGTGGTGGCGGTGGTGATGGTGGCGGTGGTGGCGGTGGTGGTTTGTGGTGGTGGTGGTGGGTTGTGCTGCTGGTAGTGGTGGTGGTGGTTGTGGCGGTGGTGGTGGTGGTGGTGGTGGTGGTGGTGTGGTAGATTGTTGTGGTGGTGCTACTGGTGGTGGTGGGGGTTTGTGGTGGTGGTGGTGGTTGTGGTGGTGAGTTGTTGTTGTGGTGGTGATGGTGACTGTGGTGGTGGTGGTGGTTATGTGGTGGTCTGGTGGTGGTGGTGGGTTGGGATGGTGGTGGTGGCGGTTGTGGTGGTGACGGTGGTGGTGGTGGTGGCGTGGTGGTTTGTGGTGGTGGTGGTGGTGGGCTGTGGTGTTGTTGGTGGTGGTGGTGCTGCTGGTGGTGGTGCTGGTGGTGGTGGTGGATGGTGGGTGGTGGATGGTGGTGGTTTGTGGTGGGTTGTGGTGGTGGTGGTGGTGGTGTGGTGGGTTGTGGTGGTGTTGTTGGTGGTGGTGGTGGTGTGGTGGTTTGTGGTGGTGTTGGTGGTGGTGTGGCCTTCGTGTCTTCCCGCCACCGTGTTTTGGCTTTGGGTCAGAGTTCTAATGGATGCCTCTTGTGGTCTCGTCAGATTGGTTTCGGGGGCGTCTGAGGAGCATTTGTGAAGCCTCGTGGATCTTCCGAAGGGCCTCTAGGTGGCTTTTGGGGGGGCGAGGGTTCAATATGGCGATTTGTGTTCCCCTCTGCGGCCTCAGGGCCCCCTCTGGTCATCGTCGCTGCGTCCCCGCCGTCGTCGGCGCTGCTGGCCGCCGCCAGCGTCGGCGCCGGCGCCGGCGCGGGGTGTGGGTGGGTGGACCCTTACCCCCCCTCCCCTCTCCCCCGGGGCCTTCTCTGGTCATCGTCGCTGCGTCCTCGCCGTCGGCGTTGCTGGCTGGCCGCCGCCAGCGCCGGCGCCCGCGCCAGGGGGAGGGGGGGGGAGTTCGGTAGGGGGGGTTCGGGGGAAGGGAATCCTCCGTGTTCTGATCGACGGCGCCGAGTGTTGGGGGGGCACCCCCCAGTTCGAAACGCTCCGCCGAAAGCTCCCAAGGCAAGCGCCCGTGAAACGCGCTCTCTCCGATCTTCGAACTCCGATCCTCCTCGATCCTCGATTTCCCCCTCGATCCTCGATCCTGCTCGATCTTCGATTCTCCTGGATCGTTGATCATCGATCCTCCTCGGTTGTCCTCGATCCTCCTGCGGTTCTGGCTGTCTCCGTGCTGCCCTGTCTTGTCGTCGCCTGGCCCTGCTCGAGGCCTGGTCGGCGGCGCCCCAGCGCGCTGGCGGCTCTCCGAGGCAAGAAGGACAAGAAAGACAAAAAAGACAAGAAAGACAAGAAGGACAAGAAGGATAAGGAGAGCGGGAGGAGGAACAGGAGGAGGAGGAGGAGGAGGAGGAGGAGGAGGAGGAGGAGAAGGAGGACGAGGAGGAGGAGGACGAGGACGAGGAGGAGGAAGAGGAGGAGGAGGATGAGGAGGAGGAGGAGGAGGAGGAGGAGGAGGAGGAGGAGGAGGAGGGGGAGGGGGGGGATGAGGGACAGGGGGAGAGGGAGGAGGAGGAGGAAGAGGAGGAGGAGGAGGAGCAGGAGGAGGGGAGGAGGAGGAGGAGGAGGAAGAGGAGGAGGAGGAGGAGGAGGAGGAGGAGGAGGAGGAGGAGGACGAGGAGGAGGGACGAGGACGAGGAGGACGAGGAGGAGGAGGAGGAGGAGGAGGAGGAGGAGGAGGAGGAGGAGGAGGAGGAGGAGGAGGAGGAGGGGGAGGGGAGGGGAGGGGGAGGGGGAGGATGAGGGACAGGGGGAGAGGGAGGAGGAGGAGGAAGAGGAAGAGGAGGAGGAGGAGGAGGAGGAGGCGGAGGAGGAGGAGGAGGAGGAGGAGGAGGAGGAGGAAGAGGAGGAGGAGGAGGAGGAGGAGGAGGAGGAGCAGGACCAGTGTAAACCCAAGTGTCATTAACGATGTTGGAATTAACGCTTCCTCCAAGCTCCCTCTTCATAGGCCCTTACAACGGTTCATTTCCGTTGAGGGAACTGCCTCTTTGGAAGACAACCGTTTGAAGATCCTGAAGCGTGCCAAGACATGGTTTTTGGGATTTCAACGCCACGGATCAACCTGACTGCTGCGTCTTGACGAACTGGAATCGTGCCAGAACGCCATTTTTGGGATTCCGACACCGCGAATCAATCAACCTAACTGCTGCACCATCATAATCCTGAATCCTTCCCAAACACCACTTCTGGTACGCTGATCATGGGAGTCCGTGAAACCCTTGCAATTTGTTAGATCGAATGTGCGCGGCGCTATAGCGAGAGCCACATTTTGAAAAGGAGCCGCTTTCATTCCGTGACAATCTGGAATTTTTCAGAAATATTGTGCGCGGCGCCAAGGCGAGGGCCAGAATGTGAAAAGGAACCGCCCTCGATCCGTGGAACGCTTGCTTTTTTACACCGAAAGTGTGCGGCGCGAAGGCGAGAACCACATTTTGAATACCGCCTGCCCTCAAGCTGTGAAGCTCTGAGGTTTTAAAACTGATGCGAGCGGCGCTGAGGGGAGAGCCACATTTTGAAAACGACCCGCCCTCCGTGTGTGAAACTGTTGTCACATTTTAGGCTTCAGAGTCATGCGTGGTGAGGAAGTCTCAGGCGAAACGCCCAGCCCGCCCCCAAAACTGGCCTCGGGGTGCGACAGTGAACAATTGTTCTATAAGGAGAAGGAATGGAGGAGGATGAGGATGAGGAGGATGAGGAGGAGGATGAGGTTAATGGTGGTCAGGATGAGGATGAGGATGAGGATGAGGATGAGGATGAGGATGAGGATGAGGATGATGATGATGATGATGATGATGATGATGATGATGATGATGATGATGATGATCATGATGATGATGATGATGATGATGATGGTGGTGATGATGATGATGATGATGATGATGATGATGATGATGATGATGATGATGATGATGATGATGATGATGATGATGATGATGATGAGGATGATGAGGAGATGATGGGAGGAGGAGGAGGAGGAGGAGAGGAGGAGGAGGAGGAGGAGGAGGAGGAGGAGGAGGAGGAGGAGGAGGAGGAGGAGGAGGAGGAGGAGGAGGAGGAGGAGGAGGAGGGAGGAGGAGGAGGAGGAGGAGGAGGAGGAGGAGGAGGAGGAGGAGGAGGAGAGGAGGAGGAGAGGGGGAGGAAGATGAGGAGGAGGAGGAGCGGGAGGAGGAGGGAAGAGGAGAAGGAGGAGGAGGAGCGGAGGCAGAGGTGGAGGCGGAGGAGGAGGAGGAAGAGGAGAGAGGAGGAGGAGGAGGAGGAGGAGGAGGAGGAGGAGGAGGAGGAGGAGGAGGAGGAGGAGGACGAGGAGGGAGGAGGAGGAGGAGGAGGGGAGGCGGAGGAGGAGGAGGGGGGGGTTGGATGCCGCTGCGTGGTGACGGCTGCCAGGGCGATGCCTTGTCAACCGGCCATTCAGCATCACCGGCCACCCATTCATTTATTCTGCGGCTCTGGGTTTCCGTACTCATACGCGCGGGCACGCACTCATATTGGTATTCGTATATGCGCTGGGGTGCTTATGGATCTACTGCTTTTTTTACTTATCAGTGTATTGGGCCGGCTATTTATTTATGTATTGCCGTATTTACACATGTATGCCCGCGCGGTGCGCGGGGGGAACTGGCCAGGGCGGGCGGGTGAGAGACCCCGGAACCAGTCCCTGCCCGGGCGCCCGACTTGAGATGCGAAACGAGAAACGAGAAACGAGGAGGAGGAGGAGGAGGCGGAGGAGGAGCAGGAGGAGGAGCAGGAGTAGGAGGCGGAGGCGGAGGCGGAGGCGGGGGCGGAGGCGGAGACTGATGAGGAGGCGGCGGCGGAGGAGGAGGATGAGGAGGATGAGGATGAGGATGAGGATGAGGATGAGGATGAGGATGAGGATGAGGATGAGGATGATGATGGATGAGGATGAGGAGGAGGAGGAGGAGGAGGAGGAGGAGGAGGAGGAGAGGAGGAGGAGGAGGGGGATGAAAGGCAAGAGAGGAGGCTTGATGAGAGAGGATAAGATGATGATGAGTGCTGCGCTGCATGATGATGATGCTTATGATGATGACGCTTGAGCTGATGATGATGAGATGGCGACGCTGACGAGCGATGATGACGATTGATGATGATGATGAGATGGATGTGCACGATGATGAGATGATGATGATGCATGATGATGATGATGATTGATGCTGATCATGATGATGATGAGATGATGATGATGATGAGAGATGCTGATTGATGCTTGATGATGATGATGCTGAGCTGATGCTGATGCGCTGCGAATGATGATGATGATTGAGCTGTGATGATGATGATGATGATGATGATGATGATGATGAGAGGAGATGATGAGATGAGATGTATGATGATAGATGGGAAGGATGAGGAGGGAGGAGGAGAGGAGGAGGAGGAGGAGAAGGAGGAGGAAGAGACGAGGAGTACGAGGACGATGAGACGAGGAGAAAGGCGGAGGAGAGCGAGCAGGAGGAGGAGGAGCAGGAGCAGGAGGAGGAGGCGGAGGAGGCGGAGGAGGAGGAATAAGAGGAGGAGTTGGAGGAGGAGGAAGAAGAGGAGGATGAGGAGGAAGAGGAGGAGGAGGAAGATGAGGTGGTGGAGGAGAAGGAGGAGGAGGAGGAGGAGGAGGAGGAGGAGGAGGAGGCAGGACTAGGCGCGCGGGGAAGGGCGCGGGAGTGAGGGAAGGCTTCCCTGGCCCTCGGGGGATGCTCCCAGCTTTCAGCGGCGAGCCCGCCCGCTCCGCGGAGGACAAAAAGGAAAAGAAGAGCAAGGTCCTCGAGGCCGCGGCCGCGCCCGAGGCCGCGCCTGCCGCGCCCTGTCTCGCCGTCCCCCCCCCTCTGGCCCGCCGCGGGGAATCGGCGGGCGATTCGTTCCTCTCGGGCGGGGGGGGAGAGGAGGGCGAGGGGTGCAGTCAACCCGTATAGTAGGGAGGGGCAGCCTTCCCAAGGGTACCCTTGCATCCCTGCCTCCTCGGCCCGTCCTTGGCGACTTTCGTTGGCCGCGCCCCATTCGAGAAGCTTCGAAACGGCCTTATAAGGCCCTTGCATCTTTATCGTGCATCCTTATTCTACGGATCGACTGTAGGGAAAGGCGAGGGACAGGATGATAACGAGGGAGGACAAGGGGAAACGAGGCGGGAAAGGGGGGGAAGACTTAGGAGCCGCTCAGGGCGTCACTTGGTTCCGCGTCCCTGTAAACTTCGATCCCCCCACGCTTATATTGCCCCCCCCCATGACGTCACCATGACGAGAAGGGCTCCTGGAGGAAAGGGGCTCCGAATGTATTCGCTGATTTCGTTTTTTTGGGGGGGGCCCTCCAGGGCCCCGGGACCGGCAGGAAACTGCTTGGGATCATTTGCTGGTCCCACGGAAGGCCATGGAGTCCAGAAACCATTTTCTTTGGCACCCCCTTGCTTCATGCCGAGGAGTTTGGGCAGCATGGGGAGAGTTCCGATTCCCCACGTAACGAATCCGCAGCCGCCGCTGACGTCAATCAGGAAGCGGGCCCATTCCTCTTGAATCAGCTCTTTTCTGGGACGCTCCCCCTTCAGGCGGTGTGCGTAAGGATTCGTTGAGTGCGTGTCGTTGAAGTTTGACTTGCATCTAGCTATGCTGGTGCATCGAAAGTTCTATACCTTTTCCAATCAGACCTTACCTCTGTAGGGGTCCAAGCGGATTCATGTGGTTAGGTGGGGTTTGCAACCTATTTACACGGCCCGCCCGGGTGCCCGGGTGCCCAGGTGCCTTTTAGCCCTATAGCCCTCTAGCCCTATAGCCCTATGGCCATATAGCCCTAATAGACCCATAGCACCATAGCCCCATAGCCCAATAGCCCTATCGCCCTATAGCCCATTAGCCCTTTAGCCCTATAGCCCTATAGCCCTATAGCCCTGTAGTCCTATAGCCCTATAGCCGTATAGCCCTATAGCCCCATAGCCCCATAGGCCTACAGCCCTATAGCCGTATAGCCCTGTCCCCCTGTAGCCCTGTAGCCCCATAGCCCTATAGACCTATAGCCCTATGTCACTATAGCCCTATAGCCCTATAGCGCCAGAGCCCCATGGCCCCATAGCCCTATAGCCCTATAGCCCTATAGTCCTATGGCCCTATAGCCCTATAGCCCTATAGCCCTATAGCCGTATAGCCCTATAGCCCTATAGCGGAAGTGCGCCAGTGGATCTCCTTGAATACACTAAAGGGGGGGGGGTCCAGGGGGTCCGAACCCCCCCCCCCCCCTCCCTCCCTTGAAAGGGGGGGGGGTCCGGACCCCCCCCCCTTCCCCCTTGGCGTTGGAAAAGGGGGGGGGGGGTTCGGACTCCCCTCCCCCTCGTGAAGGGAGTACGGAGTTGGGAGTAGGGAGCGGTGAGTAGTGAGTAGTGAGTTAGTGCGTAGTGAGTAATGAGTATTGGGTAGTGCGTAGTAGTGAGTAGTGAGTATGAGTAGTGGGTAGTGAGTGGCGAGTTTGGAGTAGGGAGTAGGGAGTGGGGAGTAGTGAGTAGTGAACAGTGAGTAATTAGTGTGTACTGATAAGTGAGTAGTGAGCGGCGAGTAGTGAGTTGTGAGTAGTGAGTAGCGAGTAGCGAGTAGTGAGCACTGAATAGGGAGTAGGGAGTAAGGAGTACTGGGTAGTGAGTAGTGGGTAGTAAGTAATGGGTGGCGAGTAGTGATTAGTGAGTAGTGAGTTGTGGGTGGTGCGTAGTCCGTAGTGAGTGGTGAGTAGTGAGTAGTGAGTACAGAGTAGCGAGTAGTGAGTAGTGAGTAGTGAATAGTGAGTAGTGAGTCGTGAGTACTGAGTAGTACGTACTGCGTAGTGAGTAGTGAGTAGTGAGTAGTGATGAATAGTGAATAGAAAGTAGTGGGTAGTGGCACTGGGTAGTGAGGAGTGAGTAGCGAGTAGTGAGTAGTGAGTGGTGAGTAGAGTGCAGTCAGTAGTGAGTAGTGGGTAGTGATTAGTGAGTAACGAGTAGGGAGTAGCGAGTAGTGAATAGTGAGTAGTGAGTGCTGAGTAGGGAGCAGGGAGTAGGGAGTAGTGAGCAGTGAGTAGTAAAAAGTGGGTAGCGAATAGTGGGTAGTGAGTAATGGGCGGCGAGTAGAGATTAGTGAGTAGTGACTAGTGACCGGTGACTAGTGAGTTGTGACTAGTGACGGGAGACTATGTAGTGGCTAGTGAGTAGGGAGTAGTAAGTAGTGAGTAGGGAATAGTGAGTAGCGGGGAGTAAGTAGTGAGTATTGAGTAGCGAGTATGGGAGTAGCGAGTAGCGAGTATTGAGTACTGTGTAGTCAGTATTGTGTAGGGAGTAGGGAGTAGCGAGTAGCGAGTAGTGGGTAGTGAGTAGTGATTTGTGGGCAATGAGTAGTTAGTAGTGAGTAGTGAGTAGTGGATGGTGGGTAGTGGGTAATGAGTAGTGATTATTGAGTAGTGAATAGGGAGTAGTGAGTAGTGCTTAGTGAGTAGTGAGTATTGAGTAGTGGGTAGTGAGGAGTGAGTAGTGAGTAGGGAGGAGGGAGTAGTGAGTAGGGAGTAGTGAGTAGCGAGTAGTGGGTGGTGGGTAGTGAGTAGTGGATAGTGAGTAGTGAGTCGTGAGTAGCGAATAGCGAGTAGTGAGTAGGGGGTAGTGAGTAGGGGGCTGGGGTTAGTGGTTAGGGGGTAGGGGGCCCCTCGTGACTCCCTTTGGGGCTGGGGTTAGTGGTTAGGGTTCGGATTCGGGGTTTGGGTTCGGGTCTAGGGGTAGGGGTGGCGGGGGTCGGGTTCCGGCGTCAGGGGGCGGCGTGGCGAAAAGGGGGGGAGGGGGGGGGGGGTTCGGACCCCCCCCCCACCCCCCTTTTGAAAGGGGGGGAACGGGGGGGGGGGGGGTCCCCGACGACGGGTCGTGGAAAGGGGGGGAGGGGGGGGGGGGGCCCCGACGACGGATCGGGAAGGGTGGGAAGGGGGGGGGGGGTGCCCGACGACGGATCGGGGAACGGGGGAGGGGGGGGGGGGTCCTAACCCCCCCCCCCTGGGGAGATCCAGCGGCGCACCGTCCCCTATAGCCCCATTGCCCTATAACCCCATAGCCCCATAGTCATATAGCCCCACAGACCTATAGGCCTAACAACATTATGATTGGGTTTTCTTCGGTACCATATACTTGAGACGTTGCGCACGTCCGTAATGATTCCAGCGTGGACAGCAAACAGTGAGTCAGTCTAAAATGTGTGGTGCACATGCAAATCGTTGGTGATGCAATTCAGCAGTGCGCCGTACAGCACTGCAAGGACAACCAATTTTTGCCAGCGAGGATCCCCCACATTGTGTTCGTTCGCTATCGATGTGCAGTTTTCATGGTGCAATATGCGTATGGCGGGCCATTCGTACTGCAACACATATGGTGCAACATGTGATGCAACTCATCTTTGTAAGCCGTGAGTTGTCATTTCCATGCGGGCACCTCAGTGCGGGTCGGTGACTCGGGCGGGTGCGGTGTCATGATCACGTCGATAACGGCGGCAACGATTTTGATGGTCACGTCGATGGTGGCGATGGTGACAGCGACTACGCTAGGGCCAATGATAGTGCCGATTCTTGTGACCGCAGTGATGATGATGCTGTCCATGTGTCGGTGATCAAGACGATCAACTGGTGATGACGGCGCTGGTGACGATTGGCGATGACGATGATGGCGGTGATGCGATGGTTCCGTTGAAAGTGATGGTAAGGAAGTGCGCGCGCAGAATTTCAAGAAACCTGGCAGGCCTTTGGTTGAACGCGTGCGGTTTTCATATGTTTTGCAAACGCTCTATTTTGGTATGCTTCCGAACAGCAGTGGCTTTGTACTGATGTCGACACTCGCGAGTGGCCGCGCGCTCGTGGCCCATATCGTATTATTTGATCCGGATTCGTCCAGTGCGCGCGTGCTGGGTCAACGCGGATGCAGCGTGCGATGATATAAGCATGCGTGTTCTGAACAAAGTCTTCAAAACACTGCATTGTTTGCCAATCCTTTCAGCAAGTGTTCGCGAGCAGAATTTAAGCAATGCTTTTGATACCATATCCAATGGGTTTGAGTTTTTTGATGTTGGGATGCTTTCAACACTAACGCGTTTGATTCTGTTTGACATGCGCGCCTCCCGAAAACGCGAGAACGCGAAACACACAATGACAATCACAATTGTTTTTCCTCTTTGGGCCCTCTTGGGGGTCCTCTTGGAGAACTCTTGGGGCTTCTTTGGGGCCTCTTGGGCCGTCTTGGGGCCGTCTTTGGCGTCTTGGAGCGCTCTTGGGCTGTCTTGGAGGCCTCTTGGGCCATCTTGGGCGCTTTCTGGGGCCCTCTTGGCCTGTCTTGGGGCCTTCTGGCTTTTGGACAATTCATGCGGGGCAGCCCAAGAACGCGGGTAACGCCCAGGAAATTTGGAATTTTGGAGCCCCAGACAAAGAACAGAGGACACATGAGGATCTGGAGAAAACTCCACTTCGCGACTCGCGGCACGGTGGCGGATACAGTCTTAGCAGCATTTCCAGCATCATGACTTGTTTTGTATTCGCGCAAGTCTAAAACTCTGCGTTTGCGTACCTGGTTCACATGTACACATGCCTGCGCATGTGCATTCCCGCGTGATCATCGGCACATGCATGTACCCCTCTAGTATCGAAGCTGATCCGGTACACGTGCCTCTCTAGGCTTTCTCCCTCTTCTCGTTCGTGGCCAGGAAGGTTTTGTATCGAATTGGCTCAGGCCGTGTAGTTTTCTGCCATCCTCAAGCCATGCATGCTTTGTCCGCTTTTCGCTAATGGCTGGCTGCAAGGCGGCCGCCATCCTGGT